TGTGGGGTGTTGGGTGTGAGGGTGTTGGGTGTGAGGGTGTTGGGGTGTGTGGGGTGTTGGGGTTGTAACAGTGTCCACTCTGTGCTTGGGTGTGGCCCAGGCTGCTCGGCCACGGCCCCTGAGTTTTAAAATGGAGTGTTTCACCTCTTCCTCTCCCCCTGCTCCTCCCTAGACTCAGGGAAACAGGTCGCCTTTCTTCCCCCCCGTCGGCGGAGCTCTGTCCCTGAGCACACACCCACCCCAGGACCCAGTGATCCAGACTTTGGGTTTGGCACCAGAAGATCTCAGAAAGACTGTCCCCCACATTAACAGGGAACCACACTGCACCAGTGGACCCGGGAATGTGGCCTTTGAGCCGCCTCCTTAACAGCCCCGGGTCCTGCTGACGGGCGGAATCAGCCTCTGGGACAGGAGCCCCTGGGGGTCTCCTCTGCTGGCAAAGCCACAAACCTGCTCTTTCCTTTTTCTCAAAGCCCCGTCCTCGGTGTTGGATGGGCAGTGGGACAAGGACTGAGTTTTCGGCCACAGGGTGATGGGCTGTGTGTGCTGGGTGTGCAGGGCGTCTGGGTGTGGAACTCAGCTGCCTAAGCTCAAGGCGTGGGCTGAGGCTGCACTCGGGTCTCCCTGAGCGGTTGGCCTGTCTCCTGGACGGCAGGCAGGGACCGTCCACACCTGTGGCAGCCAACACTGCCCTCTGGCCACTGGAAGACTCTTCCCCATGTTTTCCATCTGTTTCTTGGGCAAAGGCCTGGGCTGCATTTGGACTGGCGATGCAGGGGGCTGGTCAGCGTGAGGATGGTGGTGGACGTTCTCTGACAGCAGTGCGGCTGGCACCACACCTCACTGAGGCCTCTGTCCTCCGCTCGGCTGCAGCTGGGTTGACATGGAGGCCTCCAGCAGCGCCACGTGCTCTGCGGCCTGAGTGCCCAGTTCTCCAGACGTCCTTTCTTGGTGCCCTGCTCTGCTCTCTGTTCTCCTCCCTGAAGCCGCGCCATCTGCAGGCTGTGCACCCCGACTCGCCTGGTTTCTGCACCTTCCCTCTCCCGCTTCCCGCTTGGTCTGAGTTACCTTCAGGAGATTCCCCTTGCTTTCTGGCCCTTCCACCAGATTTCCACTCAGGCACCATGTTCTCCATCCCATGATCCCCTCCATGTGCTGGGGACATGACTCCAGGGAACATGGCACCTCAGCTCTGGGGGCAGGATCAGGGTCTTTCAGCTTCACTGGGCTGGCCCTGCTCCCTGCAGTGGTTTTTGCCAAGGGTTGTAGCCCACGTCTCATGTGTCACGGGCTGTCCTCAAACGTCACTCCTGACCACCTGAGCTCATGAGCAGCCCCTGCGGTGCCCATCGGGAGAGCCCAGGGCACAGACGGGATTGGTCTTATCGCACCCTCTTGCAGGGAGCCAGGCCATGTGGCTCCCTGGGACACCCCATCCTCACCTTAACCAGGGCCACCATCCTCAGCTGTTGCAGTGGAATGAGCAGGTTCGAGCTGTCCCCAGCCCCACGCCACCTCAGCGCACGTCTGAGCCCTTCAACTTCCCTGGGAACCACGAGTGGGGACTGCAGAAAGACATTTAAGCCCAGGAGTCCTGAGCTCCAGGTGGCCTTTGTCCCAGTGGTAGACATCACTGTTCCTCTGCCTCTCCCTCTTGGTCCTTTTGCACCCATCAGCCTGCCCAGTCCCACAGGAGGCAGTGAATCCCCACCCAGGCCCAGCCTGTGGGAGGCATGGCTGAGGCCTGGACTCCATCCTTTCTGGATGACACCTAGTGGGAGGGGAACCAGGGCCTCAGAGGCTGGGGCCCAATGTCACAAATGCCCTCCAGACCCAGCAGCTCCCTCCGGATGGTCCTTCGACTCCTGAAGCTCCCCTCTGTCCCTCCCCGAGAAGGTCGGCAGGGACAGGCCTTTGCTGCCCTGTGTGCACAAGGTCTGCAGGTGATTTCCACCCATGCTGTGCCAGCACAGGTCTGCCTTATCTTTATTTTACAGGAAAGTCAGGGTTCAGCTGGCTGGGAGGACTGCCATGGCCTGCTTTCCCTCACTGGCAGCAAGTGAAGATCCTGCCTGGTCCCGGCCTCTTTGAGGACAGCCTGTTAGAACTCCCCGCGGAGCGGACGCCCAGCCCCAAGCTGCACGCCCAGGGAGCCCAGCAATCTGCATTTCCCCCGCTGGTCACTCTGATCTTGAGGAGCTGAGGTCCTCAGACTGCGGTCCATGAGGCAGCAGCAGACACTGTGCCTATAGAAACCGGTACCACCGGCTGCCCAGAGCCCCTGTCGCGGCAGGTTGGTCAGACAGCGCATCGAGCGACAGCTGGGCCGGCCTGCCCCAAGAGCAGGGACCCGCCGGAATGTGTACGTCCGGAACCCGCTGTCGCAGCGCCACGCCCGGGGGATGAGCTAGGGCGACGGACGCGCCGCACCAGGGGACGCCATTGGGCACCGGACTAGGTTCCGGCCAGACCTGTCGACCCGGTGGGACCTCAGAAGCCCCGCCCGACCCCGTGACCCCGTGACCCCGTGACCCCCGCCCGACCCCGCGAGCGCCGCAGAGCTGCTAGTCGTCACCGCCCAGGTGAGCGCGCGCCGGGCCCGTGCGG